TGCAAGGGAAGGGGGGAAGGAGGCGAAGGTGGAGGATGAGAGGGAAGGTCAACCTTATCCACAACCTCATCCAAAATGAGGACCGGGCAAACACTTATTTGAAGGGGAAACATGCAACGTGGGGTTAGGACTAAAAAAAAGAAGATCCTCACAAAAAGTAACATCCAGAGTATAGTGAAAGTGACGAGACACGGGATTAAAACATCTACACCCTTTAAACATGGAAGAATACTCCAAAAAGACACAACAAATAGACTTGTCATCTACTTAGTGCAAGTGGAATGCCGGTTCTGAATAAAACATGTACACCCAAAAACACGAGACAAAAGAGGAAAAAATGTAATATTAGGCATAAGAATATGGAATGGAGTAAGGCCATGTAACACAAAACTAGGAGTCCTATTAATGAGATAGACAACAGTAAGAACAGCTATGTGCCAATAAGACTTGGGCACACTCATACCACGAAGAAGACAACGCATGACAGACATAATAAAACGATTTTTACGTTTAGTCACACCATTTTGTTCATGGGTCCAAGGACATGTAAGTTGTTAAAGATTACCCATTCGATTAAGGTGAGAACGAAACTCATTGGAGATGTATTCTCCACCATTGTCAGAGCGAATGTTCCTGACAATGGTACAAAATTGTGTCTTAACCATTTGCACAAACTAAACAAAGATGGGAAACACATCAGACTTGTGACGAAGTAAATAGACCCAAGTGCACCTAGTGTGATAATCAATAAAAGTCACATAATAACAATGACCCGAAAAAGAAAGAACTGGAGAGGGATCCCAAACATCAGAATGAATAAGGTCAAAAGCACTAGTGGCACGTGTCATATGTGATATATAACTAGTACGGATATGTTTAGACAACTCACAAGTAACACAATGAAATTTAGAATCTTTACAAGCTTTATTTAATAACGGGAAAAGTTGACATAAATATTGAAAGTTAACATGTCTCATATGGGCGTGCCATAACTCTAAAGTTTGAGCAGAAAAAACACAAAATATAAAAGTAGGCAAAATAGAAGCCTGAAAACTAGCGAAAGTCAAAGAAGGCTGGTCCGGTGGATCCCCAAAGTAGTATAACCCATCACGCTCATATTCCCTGCCAAAAATCCTCTTCGAACTCAGGTCCTGTAAAAGACACAAAGAAGGTAAAAAGATGACGGCGCAAATAAAAGTTTTGGCAAGACGATTAACAGATAAGAGATTATAAGCAAATTTGGGAACATGCAACACAGAAGATAAAGTGATATCAGGGGTTAAAGACACAACACCCTTATGTTGGACAGAAAAGCAAGAACCATCAAAACCAATCCAAACATTCTCTCGAATGAAATGTATATCAACCTCTACATGCTTAGTACACTCATGTAGGACATAATCAAAAGACAACATATAGTAGACTTCTTGTCACAAAACAAAGAAGCAGGAGCAGTATCCTCAAATCCTAACTCTGCCAAAATAGAAAGCAGCCATATAATCTCACAAGTGCCTTGTGCCACAACCCTATACTCAGCTTCTGCAGAATACCTAGAAACAACTGCTTGCTTCTTACTTGTCCAGGGAATGTCTCATTCGGCTCCTTCGTTAGAACGAAGGCTACTTACGATTTTGTATAATTAGGTAACAAGTTCAGTTGATCCTGATGTTTTGGCCTTTGTAGATTTTATGAAGGATTTGATTTGTTAATATGTTAAGCCTTTGTGACTTCTATTTTTGTATTCTTTGCATCATCTTGATACTTTTCTAATAAAGTGTGGTTATTTATCAAAAAAAAAAAAATTGATACTCTTGTTTCTTGCAATTATATCTTTATTTTTTATGTAAGTGTATAGTATATTTGGTCAACAGAATTATGAATATTTATCACAAGAACAATGTAGTGAATCTCTGTGGGATAGCTCGAATGGTAAGTCCCCAAGTAAAAAAAGAATGAAAAGAATTATTTGACTTACCTATGAATGAGGTAGAACCTTGTATTTATAATGAAACAACATTACAAAATAGGAAAATAACAAAATAGGAAACGAAGATAAAAAAAAATGTATTAAATTTGTGATTAACACAATCATAGATTTTATTCACACTACCATAATTACAATATCACTATTTCCTAATTCCAACACTACCATAATTATAATATCACTATTTCCTAATTCCAACACTCCCACTCAAGCTGGTGTGAAGGTATTCAATAAATGCAGCTTGCCGATAGACGATTGGAGTAATGTTGGGCCTACAGACTTGGCGAACATATCTGCTAACTACTAAGAAGAAGAGACAAAGGATGATCTCACAAAACCAATCCAAACATTCTCTCGAATGAAATGTATATCAACCTCTACATGCTTAGTACACTCATGTAGGACACAATCAAAAGACAACATAATAGTAGACTTCTTGTCACAAAACAAAGAAGCAGGAGCAGTATCCTCAAATCCTAACTCAGCCAAAATAGAAAGCAGCCATATAATCTCACAAGTGCCTTGTGCCATAACCCTATACTCAGCTTCTGCAGAAGACCTAGAAACAACTGCTTGCTTCTTACTTGTCCAGGGGATGTCTCATTCGGCTCCTTGGTTAGAACGACGGCTACTTACGATTTTGTATAATTGCGTAACAAGTTCAGTTGATCCTGATGTTTTGGCCTTTGTAGATTTTATGAAGGACCATGGTATCCTGGAGCCTCATCTTTTCAAGGTATTTGTAATGCTGAAATGTTTACAGTAGCATTTTTCTCCCCCATTTTTGGCTACATGGTGGTGGACTAGCATAATTCTCTGAGATGGTTGGGAGCATGTGATGCATCTGCGTTGGTTGTTGTTAATTAAAGTAAGCTTCAGTTTAGGTTAAGGGTTTGTTTCTTGCCAAACTAAGTGAGTTCAAAGTACATTCTAATGCTGTCATTTTAATGTGGCACTATAATGCAGTGAACAAGTAGAAGAAGAACAACAAAAGAAAGGGGGAAGAACAGGATCACAAACCCAAATCAAACATCTTAATCTCAATTATTCAATAATCAAATTGATATCAAGTCTCCTAAAACTTTTTACACAGGGTTATTTATTTGCATTCTAAACAAACTGAAAGCTGGTGGAAACTACTTTATTTTCAATACAATACCTTGAATTGTACAATATGCCCTATTATATAAACTGTAACCAGCAGCTAACTTAAGGAAATACAATTCTACAATAAAGGAATATACAAGAATCATGGTAATCACTATTGACCACCAGCACCATCCTTCTGTACATACCTAAAATAGGATACCTAAAATAAGACTGTCAATAATCATTCCTTAATTATAGGGATTACATATGACTCCTAAACTGTAGGGATTTCCACAAAGCCCTTGGCCACTAAGCGGGTCTTGTCACAGTCAACGGAGCCATCAAGTAAGTACTTAATAGCAAAGACCCATTTACAACTCACGATACTCTCGCCAGAAGGTAAAGGAACCAAATCCCAAGTATGATTCTATTCTAAAGTTGCAATTTCAATCTGCATTGCCTCCACCCATTTCGGATTCTGAATGGCCTTTGGCACTAACTGAGGAATAGACTTGGATTCAAGCTTGCAAGGAAAGAATGATACGAGTCGAAAACCCTGTCATATGAGAGATACTGGGAAATGGGATGATTAGTACTAACAGATAACCCCAACAGTTAGGGAGATGTCGATCCCGATGAGGATTATGATGAGAAAGGAAAGGAGACGTATGCAAAGGAGAAGAATTATCCAACCTAAGATCCGAAGATGTGGCAGGAGGGGGCTAAGCACAAAGGCGGCGAGAGTATACCTGCAAGGGAAGGGGGGAAGGAGGCGAAGGTGGAGGATGAGAGGGAAGGTCAACCTTATCCGCAACCTCATCCAAAATGAGGACCGGGCAAACACTTATTTGAAGGGGAGACATGCAACGTGGGGTTAGGACTAAAAAAAAGAAGATCCTCGCAAAAAGTAACATCCAGAGTATAGTGAAAGTGACGAGACACGGGATTAAAACATCTACACCCTTTAGACATGGAAGAATACTCCAAAAAGACACAACAAATAGACTTGTCATCTACTTAGTGCAAGTGGAATGCCGGTTCTGAATAAAACATGTACACCCAAAAACACGAGACAAAAGAGGAAAAAATGTAATATTAGGCATAAGAATATGGAATGGAGTAAGGCCATGTAACACAAAACTAGGAGTCCTATTAATGAGATAGACAACAGTAAGAACAGCCATGTGCCAATAAGACTTGGGCACACTCATACCACGAAGAAGACAACGCATGACAGACATAATAAAACGATTTTTACGTTTAGTCACACCATTTTGTTCAGGGGTCCAAGGACATGTAGGTTGTTAAAGATTACCCATTCGATTAAGGTGAGAACGAAACTCATTGGAGATGTATTCACCACCATTGTCAGAGCGAATGTTCCTGACAATGGTACAAAATTGTGTCTTAACCATTTGCACAAACTAAACAAAGATGGGAAACACATCAGACTTGTGACGAAGTAAATAGACCCAAGTGCACCTAGTGTGATAATCAATAAAAGTCACATAATAACAATGACCCGAAAAAGAAAGAACTGGAGAGGGATCCCAAACATCAGAATGAATAAGGTCAAAAGCACTAGTGGCACGTGTCATATGTGATATATAACTAGTACGGATATGTTTAGACAACTCACAAGTAACACAATGAAATTTAGAATCTTTACAAGCTTTATTTAATAACGGGAAAAGTTGACATAAATATTGAAAGTTAACATGTCTCATATGGGCGTGCCATAAGTCTAAAGTTTGAGCAGAAAAAACACAAAATATAAAAGTAGGCAAAATAGAAGCCTGAAAACTAGCGAAAGTCAAAGAAGGCTGGTCCGGTGGATCCCCAAAGTAGTATAACCCATCACGCTCATATTTCCTGCCAAAAATCCTCTTCGAACTCAGGTCCTGTAAAAGACACAAAGAAGGTAAAAAGATGACAGCGCAAATAAAAGTTTTGGCAAGACGATTAACAGATAAGAGATTATAAGCAAACTTGGGAACATGCAACACAGAAGATAAAGTGATATCAGGGGTTAAAGACACAACACCCTTATGTTGGACAGAAAAGCAAGAACCATCAGCAAGACACACAGATTGGGCAGCAATGGTGAGTGCAGGAGAGGGAAGAAAAGAAAACTCACCAGTCATATGATCATTAGCCCCAAAATCCAAAATCCATAAAGGACTAGCAAACCGAACATGGAAAGCAGTAGAAGTACCTGTAACAAGGGTGGCAGTAGAAAATGATAGACCAAGAGAACCAATGGTGAGAGACCCAAGTTGGGCCTGAAGCTAACCAATCTGAGTCTATAGCTGCTGTAGATTAGGGACATTAGGAGGCTCAAAAGCAGGAGTAACTTCCATCAAAGCAGTAGTGCGAGCAGAGCCAAAACCACATGTAGTAGGACCACGAGGACGGGAATGGCGTTGCCCCAACTCAGGATGAAGTTTGAAGCAACGAGCTTTGACATGTCCAGGCGCACCACAATGATGACAAGTAACAGAACTGCTGGAACTCCAAGAACCAAAACTTGCAACAAAAGCCATCTGATCTACTAAAATTGGAGGTATTGAAGGAACACTAGGCTGAACCAATCGCCAACGACGCTCATCACTGTCAATAGTGGCAAAAGCTTCATAAAGAGATGGCATGAGTGATATGTTTAGAATTTGAATTCGAAGAGATTCAAATTCAGAGTCTAAACCCATGAGAAACTGATAAGTGTGCTGTCGGGCAAGCCTCTTGGACACAAGAGAGGCGGTTTCTGGTGGAAGGTCAGTCAAAGGCTCCTATTGAGCAAGTTCCTCCCAAAGCCTGAAGATATCCAGAAAATTCAGCTATAGAAAGGCCAAGATAGGACTGAGAGGCCCGGGCTATATCTTGGTGAAGCTCGAAGATACATGCATCATTGTGAGCATGAGCGTACATCTGTGACAATGCCTGCCACAACTCGGAACTGTATCACAATAAAGGAAGGAACATATGATAAATCCGATCTTCCATGGAATTGAGCATCCACCCCAATAAAGTGCAGTTATCGATATTCCACTGAGCACGTGTAAGGTCTGTCGCAGCTAGTGTATAGTACATAAAAGCCAATGGGCCTTTCCCTTTCCCCCAAGATAGAATTTAAGAAAATGGCTCCAAGCAGCAAAATTTTTCCCATTCAACACCACACTTGTAATACGATGAATAGGAGTGTGATGGAAAAGAGAAAAATCAGTACTTAAAACAGGCACATGTTTGGTGGAGACCGCAATAGATACCTCAGTAGGAATGGTAGAAGATAAGTTATCCATGGGGAGATGATGAGGGTTAAAATAGATAGCAATACAGCAACACAGTCCGAGTAAACAACCAGAAAAGACGAAAAAAACTCTACGGCTAAATGCTACCGAATAAACAAAGTAGCCCACAAAGAAAAAAAAGAAAAATAGAGGTCCAGAAAAATGCTTAAAAACATTAGCACTACACCCTATAAAAGAAAAAAAAAAGGGTTCAGACCACCCTCAAGAGGGTGTCGAACCAATCTAGGCTAGGGGAAGACCTGGTCAAAGTACTCTAGGCCAAGATAAGACCTGGTTGGCAGCAGCAAGACCCTCGGCAGGTGTAATACAGTCTTGTCGAGGGGTATAGGAGAGTGGGTAAGTGGTTTTGGGTGGTCTAGGAGTGGTGAGTTAGGTTGTCGGGTGGTCTAGAGGGGAGAGAAGGCCTGTTGGCTGCTGGAAGAAGAAGAAAGAAGATGAAGAACCTGCTGGGCAGTAAAGAATAGGGGCCAACAGGGAGAAGGGGGTGGTCTAGGGTTTCTGTGTTTTGGCTCTAATACCAAAAAGAATAAAAATAATTATTTGGCTTGCCTATGAATGAGGTAGAGCCTTGTATTTATAATGAAACAATATTACAAAATAGGAAACGAACAAAATAAGAAACGAAGATAAAAAAAGATATTAAACCTGTGGTTGACACAATCACAGATTTTATACACACTACCATAATTACAATATCACGATTTCCTAATTCCAACACTACCATAATTATTATATCACTATTTCCTAATTCCAACAGTAACCCACAAAGGGGTCTTAGGTTCGTGTCCCTACGTTGCACAATATGTGAGGCTAACAGGGTGGTCTCACATATCCGGGGTTTTATCCCAGGTCTCACTGAAGGTAGGGTCAGGGGGTTCCTCGTAATAAAAAAATCAATTTAGTGAAGGGTATGTACAAGCCACGTGTATATACTGACCTCTCTACAAGTACTTCCAAGGATGATCTACTTAGTTCTTTATGAACAGCAATAACACTCAAGACATCTTGGGTGTATGATAAGCTGTTGTTGCATCTCTCCCAACGTGGTACAGTTCCCTGATTTCCATCATTACAATATCTGAGACTGTTCAGTGAGATTTTGCTTACATTCATTATGACATTATTGTATGCATTACAATACATACCTTCCGAACATGTAATGCTTCTTGAACACCATCATCGTTTGCCCAAATGCTATTGTGTGTAAGCTTCAAAGTCTGTTACAGAACTAAAATTAGCCACCCATCTCTCTTTACATCTCATAAACAAGCTGTAATCAGAAAGAGAGAGAGAGAGAGATTACAGTGCACCAAGGTTTTGGAAACGTTGATGGCGAGAGTAGGAACTCTGAAGAACCTTCTTTTAGAAATCTTCGGTCTGGGCCTTCTGGATGATCTTGGGATGATAAATCGCACTTGGGTTTCAAAATATCTTTGTCAGACAGATCTTTCAGACACTACAAATTCAAATAGGTCTCAACTTCTAAGCCTGCAGAACCTGATGGACATACATTATGTACCAGAAGTCAGAAGTACTTTAATTCCTCTAACCTTTTGTATAGCACCCATAGCGGTTATGCATGCCGTATTTGCTGGATCTACATTTATATAGTTCTCATTGCAACTTCTTTTCGCATTCTGGAAAAGCATAAACCATTACAATTATCACAAGGGTAAGAATAACAACAAACCTCGTAAAAGGAATAATATTAACCACTACAATTTCTTTCTATTTGCTAAAATTTGACTTTCAGTGATAAAGATGCCACTTGTTTTGCATTCAAAAGCATCACTCAAGAGGCAACAGATATTAAAGGAAAAATAAGCAAAGAAGGATTAACAACACAAAATCATAAACATGTGTGAACTAGCTTGAACATATACAGGCAAAGACAGTAAGCTTCTCACATTATAGTAGATTATATACAATTATGCCTCATATGGCCACAAATTAGTGCTTGTAAAGTGTCCCATACGTAAAAGTCCCTATTTTCACTTTATACCTTTTAACAGAGAAGATCCAGTTCCCCTCCCCCCTTCCCCAGTTCACTGACCCACAGCACAAAACACAGAAAAAAAGGGCAGAAAAAGAAAAAAAGAAAGAAAGAAAGAAAAAAGGGGGACATTCTAAGTTACCAATTATCCCAAAAGATTAAGCCGATAGGCCCAACAATGCGTATCAAGCTAACACTCCACCTCACATGTGACCCCGTCTCGCTCGTGGATAGACAAATAAATTGACAAACAAGATCCACGAAGATAGACAAAACAGAGTTCACAATGACAAAGATAATGGAGGCAACAAGACTTTAACCCAGGATCTTCTAAAACCAGAGCTCTAATACCATGTCAAGTCACCAATTGTCCCAAAAGCTTAAGCTAATAGGAAATCGGTCCAACAATGCATATCAAGCTAACAAATATAATGTGACTTATTACAATGGAAGATTTTGATTTACCTCATAGATCTCATCCGATATAAGTGCCATTCTATGAGCAAAATCTACTCTTGAGTTCCCATCAATAACTGAATAAGTCCCTGGGCATCCAACCAAGTATCCCTGATACCATTACAAAGACCATTGATTTAAATCACTCAGAAACATAATGCAACGATAAATTGCAATAGCCAAAAAGACTAACTGAAAGCAATCCATGTCTTTAATTAGGTCATGTACTTTGATATTCATATATGGCTTGGCTTTTTCTTTGTTACCTGAAAGTCCATAAACCAAACACCAAGAGTGAGCTAGAATTCGAAGAGAGATTGCTTTTACTGAACAAAGTAAAATTAGTAGTCATGAAATTGAAATACCATCTATTATCTTTTTAGTGATCAATGGGACAGTAAGGCCTGCATAAGAATCACCACCAACAAATAGTTGAACGGAGAGAAATTGTGGGTGTTCGACCAACCACTGCATCATGTTGAGAAAAATAAAGTTGAAGTTAAGAGATTCTAAGGCAAGGCACGCAGCTAAGACTTTTCGAAACTCAAAACAAACACAAGCATAGATAATCATTGCGTGTTCAAACGATGACGTCCAAGCCTTGAGGACGGTCAAAAATGGGGTGTCTATAGTCACTTTTTCCCCCTGTAGGCCACTTTAAGTGGCCAACGACCATTTTCTTACTTTTGCAGATATTTTTATTGCCAGCTGTGCCAGCTGTTGGGTACAGAAGGCATCCTCCATACACGTATATGGAGGGATTGCACCAAGCTTCTAGCTTGTCAAACAAGCTTGAGGCTTGAAATTCTATAAGAGAGGAGCTCTCTCTCCCTTTCCAAAGGTTGAGAATTTTGAGAGAAAAATTTCACTCTCTCTAGAATTCTCTTCATTTCTCTCTATATTGTGTTACATTGTGCTCAAAAGTGAGTGTTCTTCACATTTTTGCCTACAACCCTCTTAGCCAAACACCTTACCTTGTTGCTGAGATACTTGGAGGTCTTGTTTGGAGCCTAAAAGCTAGTTTTTTGGCTCAGAAGTGCTGCTGTTGTTGCTGTGCTTCGAGGGTAAGTCTTTACCCTCTTTAAAGCTTTGCTTTAGTTGCTTACTTAGCAATCTTTGCATGCTTCTTTTGTCTTAGCTTTCAATTGTAAAAACTTCTATTTTTAAGTGTTTAAGATGGTTGTTTCAGACCTTGTTTGAGTTAGGGGTGGTCTACCCCCTTTGGTGGCTTGTTTTGCTTTGCTTTGTGCTATCCTTTGAGGCCTTTGAGATCACCTTTGTTTGTCTTTTTCACCACTGAATTCTAGAGGAATTTCAGTGGTGGAAAGTGGGTTTTGAGACCCAAAATGGATGGGGGTGGTCCCCTCCTTTTGTGCTTTGTTTGCATGTGTTGTTGGCTTAACAATTTGGCATGTTTTTCTACCTTCTTGAGGCTCTATCTTATCATGTTTTAGGCCTTATTTTAACATGATATAACTCTGTTTTTGGTTGTTTTGATTGCCTCTTGCATGCTTCACACACTTGTAGTGCAATCCTCCTTATAGCCTTAACATGCATCATGCTTTGTGCCTCTAATTCTAGCTTGTGTTAGCTCTATCTTAGCATGTTTTCGCCACTGATTTTCCATGTCATAACTCCATTTTTGATTGGTTTGGTTGCCTCTTGCATGCTTCTTGCACTTGTAGTGTAATTTTGTTCACTAGCCTAGTGTATTTGGTGTTTTAGCCTATTGATCTAGCATGTGTATGCTCTGCCCCAGCGCATTTTTGGCTATGTTTTAGCATGCTTTAGGTCTGATTTGAGTGGTTTTGGTCATGCATGCTTGGCTTTGCACAGCTATAGTTCATTTGGCTTTGCTAGTCTTGCACTTTGAGACCTCTAGCATGTCATATTTGAGCTTTTTCCATGTCATGGCATCATTTGGTATGTTATTTCAGACCATATACCTCTACCATATTCTTGCATTTATCGCTCTTTCATTGTGTCTGAGGGTTGAGCCTTATGTTTCACTTGTAAGCCAATACGTATGCATGCTTGCCTAAGCTTTTGAGCTTCCATCTTAGCATGTTTTGGTCTTTGTTTTGGCCAAATTGAACTCTGTCTAGAGCTGGTTTAGTCATTTGTGCCGTGTATTGCATGCCCCTTGAGTAGTGCTCTTTACTAGCTTTATGCTTTAGGCCTTCTAGCATGCCTTATTTGTGATGTTCATGTGATATGGCATCATTTAACATGTTATTTCAGAGCATATAGCCTTTCCATACTCTCTTATTCATTGCTCTTTCATTGTGTTTGAGAGTTGTGTTTAATGCCTAGCCTGTGAGCCAATGCATAAGTATGTTGTTGTAGCTTTCGGTGCTTCATTTCTAGCATGACTTTGCCGCTATTTTGGCGTGATATAGGTTTGTCCATATGTGGTTTGACTATTTGGGATTGATAGCGCATGCCTCATGTGTAATGTTCTTCACTTGATTTAGTGCTCTTAGTCCCTTAACATGTTTTGCATGCATTGCTTACATGATAGAGGCTCGTGCATGCCACTTTAGCATTGATAGATAATGTTGTTTGCATGTGTGATGCATTACATGTGTTTGGATCGGACGATAATCCAAACACGGGAAACGAGGGGCATTTCATACTTGAAGTGATGAAACGTGTCTCATTTCTTGGTCGTCGTCCCCCTTGATTGTGCATGATAGGGTGGAGGCCTCTTGAGTCTTGTGTGTTACTTGTGCATTCATTAACTTGTACAAACTCGGCCTCTAAGCCATCGTGCATTGTGATGCTCGGTTAGTGGCCTGAGAGTCAAGTACCGCACTCCTTCGAGCTTGAGAAATGATAAGGAGGGTGGTTGTACACACATACCCTGCAAATGCCTTGCTTTGCCCTTGTTGAACTCTGTTTGCAGCAAAATGGAAGTGTGTAGAGGAAGTGGCCGACCGGCCACTTCAAGTGGCCTATAGCCTCCTTAAGTGGCCGGCAGCCTCCCCTGGTGGCCGATAGTCCACCAGATTGAAGATGGTTCAAAATGATTCTGGTTCTGGAGCAGAAGCAGTCTAGGAATTGGTTCAGTGTTCGGGACCAAGGCGAATGCAAACAGAGGCAACCGGTGGCAAGGCGATAGGATTCCGGGAAGAAGCAACTGAGCATGCATGCATTCCTCGCTTCGAGGCTCCTTTTAACTGCTTTGCTTAGATGGTTAACTCGTCGATTCTATACTTAGATAGTTAATATGCTTAGCTATTCATTTGTGTTTGTAATTAGTTAACTAGTTAGTTTATTAGTTATGATTTATAATAGTTAGCTTAATTAGCATAGCTAGTTAGCTTTCATTTCATTCGGACCCTTCGTCGAGAGGGAGAATGCTATAATAAGTGTGCGCGTGTGTGTGAATGTCTTCCAACCCCACGTCTTTCTCCCTTTTATTACCAGCTTTTGATGGTTAGTTTTAGGGCATGTTTCAATTAGCAAACTTATGCTTTGCATGCGTGCATCATTCATTCGTATTGCATGCACCGGGCTCGGCGCATCTTTCTAACTGCATTGAATTTCAATACTTACTTGAATATGTATTTCAAAGCATGTTATCGAGTGTTGCATTCACATGCCATCTTAGAATAGTCGAGCCTATTTAGCTGCATTATGCATGTGTTGCATTAGGCATCTTACCTTAGCTAGGATCATGCATTGATTTCTAACTAGTTTTCTTTCTTTGGCTCGGAGTACACTGTAAGTGTTTATGCATTAGCATCCTTGCATGAGTGTGAGTGTTGCCATGACAGCATGCTTGCCATGAGGCTATTTGCTTAAGTGATTAACTACATGAATGTCTGTGGATGAAGGCTTCATTGCTTGAATTGGGACAATTCATCAAAATGTGAGTTTTAAGCCCACTTTGCGGAGTAGCATGTCATGTTTTCTAAGCCCACTTGAGGGTGGCAAATCCGCGCTTTAGCCTACTTGCGAGTAGCACTCTCAAACCATTTTCGAAAAACAAACATGAGGTGTTTTGTTCCAAATTGAGTGATTTAGTCTATACTTGTATGTTGTGCGCATCACATAGTAAGATTAGGAAATAATCGGAATAAAAACACACGTGTTTTCAAAAACAACATATCATGTTAGTAGAGGCCGATCCTTTGATCTGGTGAGCAGGGGTGCTCATTTCAGGACCTTTCCCTCTCGTACCCAAGTTCCCGAGCCGAGGCAACTTTGGTGATGACAGACACGTGGCCTTAGGCATGAGTTAGGGTTTCCTAAATTTTTCAAAACAAAATATTTAGGTGGCGACTCTGAAATCTGGCAAAATAGTCCATGTTTGGTGCTTTTTGATTGAAAATTGATTTTTCAAAACCAATTGCCGGATTTGGACTCTTTGGTGATTTATCAGTCTTACATTGGACTTTGTGAGATTAGATTTAGAACCGTGACAAGAGTCCGAACTGTAGTAGCTAAAACCCAATTCGCGCCCTCGCGCGCAAAGTGAGTTCGGGTGGTCTACAGATAGATTAGTAATTAAATTAATTAATATGGGTCATTTATTAATATCAAAGAATTAGTTATGAGATAGCATTATATTTCCTATTACTTAGATAGGTAATTTTGTAACTTTGAGAAATTAGGTTAATAAGCCCACCTGTTGTGACTTTAAGTCTTGGAAAACAAACAAGACAAAGGCTGGGAATTGCTTCATAGGTGGCTAGGGTTTGAGAAGGTAAAAGAAAAAAGAAAAGAAAAAGAGAAGAGAGGTTCAAGTGAGGCTGCAATAGGGATTGGAGGCAGCACGTTGGTGATTTTGGGACACCCATTGGTTAAGGTAAAATCTGTCTTTACTGTTAATTATTAAGTTTATGTTGAGGAATTTAACAATCAATGCATTAAGGGGATTTGGAAGATCTATAGGTGCCTACTTAGGTTTTGAGAATTGGGTGCAATGTGTAAGTGTAACTTTGGGAGGGTAATAGAAACAATGGAGTTTTGTATCATGGGTAAGGGTGTGTTTGGCTATAAAGTTGGGTTGAATAGTTTAATCACTTGGATATTAAAGTAATACATTAATCTAATATGGTGGGGCTTTTGTGGGTGTATGTAACATGTAAAAATATTAATTTATTTGAGGTTTTGTTTATTAGGTTTGTGTGATTAAAGTGGTGGAGCTGGGTGTTTGGAGTTGGTGTTGGGTGTTTGGAGTTGGTGTTGGAATATTATTTCTAAGCGTTTGGTGTAAGTAACCCTCTATCACTGTTGGTACATTTTTATTCTTATTGAATCGTTTAAAATTATAAGTATTTACTTATAGCCTTCATGTTCTCTTAAAATAAAATATGGGTCAAGTATAAAACAACATCGAATATTATTATGAAAATTATTTGAATATTTTGTGGAACTATTCTAAAAATTGTACTAAACGTTTATTCTGAAAATATCGAATGTTTTATTTAAAATTTGTGTATTGTTTGAATTTTGAACATCACTCTAGT